GAAATTTTGAATCAACATATTTTTCCTTTAAAATGTTACATTTACTCAGATTAAACTTTTGATCTGTCATCTATGTTATATTACGAATAAAATATTGACATTTGCCATCTCCACATCATTGCATTCAGTTTTTATTCACAATTTGTTTAGTGTCCCAACTTTTTTGGAATCCGGTTTGTAGGTCCATATATAGGTCCAGGTCCAGATATAGGTCCAGGTGTATCTGAAAGACAAAAAAAACCCCACATGTTAAGGATAGAAAAAATAATTACAACTACAAAACAGGTTGAGCAGAGTAAGTAAAGACAGTAGGAGAGTGAAAATTGTGGTCAGTTTGTCCATCAGCAGTCTAAGCCTATAGCAGAATAATTAAGGGACAGCCCAGGAAACCCAAGCTGACCCTAACTATAGGATTTAGCAAAAAGGAAAGTCTTAAGCCTAGTTTTAAAACTGGATAATGTGTCAGCCTCACAGACAGAGACTGGAAGTTGGTTCCACAAGAGAGGAGCCTGATAACTGAAAGATCTGCCTCCCATTCTGTTTTTGGAAACTCTAGGAACCACAAGTAAACCTGCAGCTTGAGGGCGAAGTGCTCTGTTTAGAAAATATGGAACAATAAGATCTGTAATATAAGATGGAGCTAGGTTGTTGAGAGCTTTGTAGGTTAGAAGTAGGATTTTGAATTCTATTCTGGATTTGACAGGGAGCCAATGGAGAGAAGCTAAAACTGGAGAGATATGATCTCTCCCAGTAACTCCAGTTAAGACTCTGGCAGCAGCATTTTGGATCAACTGAAGACGTTTTAAAGACGTATTTAGACACCCAGATAATAAACCATTGCAATAGTCCAGTCTAGACGTGACAAATGCATGGACCAGTTTTTCTGCATCATTTTTAGATCAGACGTTTCTAATTTTAGTGATATTACGCAGGTGGAAGAAGGAGGTTCTAGTAATGTTTTTAATGTGGGGGATAAAAGACATGTCCTGATCAAAAATAACACCAAGATTTTTAACATTAGAGCTGGAGGACAGATTAATGACATCTAAGGAGGGAGAAAGACTGAAAAATTAATTCCTAAGGTGCTCAGGTACAAAAACCAAAACCTCAGTCTTGTCTGTGTTCAACAGGAGAAAATTAAGGGTCATCCAGGTTTTTATGTCTTTAAGACATGCTTGTAGTCTAAGTAGCTGATTGGATCCATTGGGTTTAATGGACAAATATAATTGTGTGTCATCAGCATAACAATGAAAATTTATCCCATGCTGTTTAATAACTTTACCTAATGAAAGCATATATAAAATAAAGAATATTTGTCCAAGTACTGAGCCCTGAGGAACTCCATGACTAACTTTGGTGTATGAAGAAGATTTATTATTTACATTTACAAACTGGAATCTATCAGATAGATATGATTTAAACCATTTTAGAGCTGTTCCTGTAATCCCAATATCATTCAAGCCTCTGTAGTAAAATATTGTGATCAACTGTATCAAATGCAGCACTGAGGTCTAACAGGACCAGTGGAGACACAAGTCCATTGTCTGAGGCCATGAGAATATCATTAGTGACTTACTAGTGCTGTTTCTGTGCTATGATGAGCTCTAAACCCTGACTGAAACTCTTCAAACAGATTATTTCTTTGTAGATGTTCACGCAACTGACCTGCAACTATTTTCTCTAGAATTTTTGAGATGAAAGTTAGATTAGATATAGGTCTATAGTTGGCCAGAATTTCTGAATCAAGTTCAGACTTCTTAAGTAAAGGTTTAATTAACAGTAACCTTAAAGCGCTGTGGTACATAACCGTTCTAAAAAAGTTCAATCTGGTCCTCTGGACATTCAAGCAACAAAACAAAGCAAAACAACAAAAAATGTAGAAATGTTTCGTCTTTCATCCGAAAGACTTCCTCAGTCTGAGGTGCTGTATTCAGCTCAGTCTCTTAAATAGCACCTTCTCAGAGTGGATCAACCAGTTTGCTGCTGACAACCAAAACCAGCTGCTCACATGGTCAAGAAGGACCATCAGCCTAACGATGGATCATTAGCACCTGATGGCTGTTTACTGTTCACAGAGGGCTGAGTGATACTAGCAATCACAGCATTGTAAGAGGGGGACAGTTGAACCCGGAGGCCTCCACCCCTGTTTAATGATGGACGATTTCTTTTCACAAAGATGGCCTCCTTTACTCCTCTCTCAAACCATCGTTCCTCTCTGTCCAGGATGTGAACATCTTCATCCCTGAAAGAGTGACCACTGGCCTGGAGATGAGTGTAGACCGCAGAGTCCTGGCCTGATGATGTTGATCTTCTGTGCTGGTCCATCCTTTTGGCCAGTGGCTGTTTAGTTTCCCCGATGTAAGACTGATCACAGCCCTCCTGACACTGAACAGCATACACAATATTACTCTGTTTGTGCCGGGGGACTGGATCTTTGGGATGAACCAGTCTTTAATGTATTTTGGGGTTTAAAATCCACTGGGACGTTATGTTTAGAAAATAAACGTCTCAGTTTCTCTGATACTCCCTCAACATATGGAATGACCACTGGTCTGGGTCTGGGTTCCTCCTTTTCACCTGTTGGCTGACTGGAGTCCTGTTTGGGTTTCTTTTCTACTTTCAGGAAGGCCCAGTTAGGATATCCACATTGCTCTAGAGCCTGTCTTGTGTGGGATTTCTCCTTCTGCCTGGCTCCTGAGTTAGTGGGGACGCTGTCTGCTCTGTGGTACAGAGTCCTGATGACTCCTAACTTGTGCTCCAAAGGGTGATGGGAGTCGAACTGCAAATACTGGTCTGTGTGGGTGGGTTTGCGGTACACCTCAGTTTGCAAATGTCCTCCATCAGAAACTGAGACCTCACAGTCCAAGAAAGCCAACCTGCCATTTTTTACATCTTCTCGTGTGAACTTGACGTATTTATCCACAGAGTTGATGTGGTCAGTAAAATGTTGGACTTCCTGAGATTTAATTTTAACCCAGGTGTCGTCAACATACCTGAACCAATGACTTAGTGGTGTCCCTGAAAAGGACATCAAGGCTCTCTTTTCTACCTCCTCCATGTACAGGTTGGCAACAATAGGAGAAACTGGAGACCCCATAGCACACCCATGTTTCTGCCTATAATATTGCTCCCCATATGTGAAGTAGGTTGACTGCAGGCACAGTTTCAAGAGTTGACACAGTTGTTCTGTGGAAAGTGTGGTCCTGCTGCTCAGAGTGGTGTCTGATTTTAATTTTAAACTGACCACCTCTACTGCATCATCAACAGGAATGCACGTAAAGAGTGATGTGACATCAAAAGAGACCATTGTTTCATCAGTCTCCATGATGACATCCCTCACCTTATCCACAAAGTCCATGGTGTTCTGTATGTGGTGTTCTGAGCTGCCAACTAAAGGGATGAGTACAGACGCCAGATATTTGGAAACATTGTAAGTGACAGAGTTAATCATGCTAACAATAGGTCTTAAAGTACACCTTGTTTGTGGATTTTAGGTAAACCATACAGACTAGGTGTGGCCTCCCCTGGGTACAGTCTGTGGTACAGAAAACGGTCAATAGCCTTGTCCTGCTCCAAATTTTTTCAGGCAATCTATTAACTTTTTCTTGTAACCACTTCCTGGATCTCTTTTCAGAGGTTCATAAGTGTTTAAGTCACTAAGGAGTGTCATAACTTTCTCATGATAGTCTTTCTGGTTCAAAATCACTGTGCACCTTCCTTTGTCTGCTGGGAGAATGATGATGTTTTTGTCCTTGCTAAGAGTGGTGAGCGCATCCCTCTCCTCTCTACTGCACTCACCACTCTTAGCAAGGACAAAAACATCATCTCAAAATCACGTCTCACCATGAACATGCAACGTCACCAGCTCCAACCCGCTGTACACCTCAGATTTCCAGTATAAGACAGACTCCTGTCATCTGCAGAAATATTCTGATTACTCTGCAGTGGTCGGGTGTATCAGAGATGGACAAGAAGCTGAGTACAGGGAACTGGTGGACCGCTTTGTGGCATCGTGTTGAAACTATCATCTCATCTTGAATGTGAACAAAACAAAAGAGATGATTGTAGATTTCAGGAGAATCAGGAACAGGTCCAACACTATTTCCATCATGGGAGAAGAAGTGGAGGTGGTGGAGAAGTATAAATACCTTGGGGTTCACCTGGACAACAGACTGGACTGGAAATGCAACAGTGAAGCGTCTACAAGAAGGGACAGAGCAGACTGTACTTCTTGAGGAAGCTGAAGTCCTTCAGTGTTTGCAGCAAGATGCTGCATATCTTCTATAAGTCTGTTGTAGAGAGTGGTATCTCTTCTGCCATCATCTGCTGGGGGAGCAGCACCAGAGCAAGTGACTTAAAACAGATCAACAAGCTCATAAAGAAGGCTGGCTCAGTTCTGGGGACTCCTCTAGAACCTTTGGAGATGGTTGTACAAAGAAGGATTCTTCATCAAATGAAGAACATTATAGACAACACTCAGCATCCTCTTCATCAGACTGTCATACAACATCAGACTGTCATACAACATCAGACTGT